TTTGCATTGCTGCTTTTTCTTCCTGCCGCCTGGTAATCATTGTCATTGTTACACTTCTTTGTACCTTGTGTATTATCTGCTTCTTCTACAGCTGCTTCTGCATTGTTGCCACCATTGGATAAAGCTTGAGGCTCACAAAGATTATTCTAAGCAATGAATTCATCAAAAGCATTTTGAACTTCAACATTATCATCACTTGTTGAATATTCATCTTCTTGTGTGCATTCATATGAGCAGGCTGGATCTTGAGATTGAGGTAGACATGCTGCATGACCAAAAACTTGTGAGATTTTATGGTCAAGATATATGCAACAGGATCACTCAAATAATCGTACTAACCCATTATGTTTTCATTCGGTGACTTCAATAAATAGAAACATGAAACGTGAACAACCCAAGTTAAATAGATGATGGTTAAGAAATTCTAAAAAAATATGTCCTGTTCCTTTTGTATTTTCCGAGGTTCTAAGGAAGATTCAACATTGTTGCCATCATTTGGTAAAGTATGAGCTTCTTAAATAGTAATCCTCTCTGGAAGTGACTCAACTACAGTTTTAAATCTTCAACTTCCAAACCTATAGAATTCTCCAAGCCTGTCATATTTGTATCCAAGCTTTGAAATTCTCTCAAGTTTGTTTTATAGCTGCATTCATATCCATTGTGAATAATGCTGGCACTTCAAATATACTTGATTATGCTCTAATAGGTGACTCAGTAGCAAAACTTTCAATCTTTTGCTCCCTCTCTAATGCATGAGTTTCACAAGCTACATGATTCTCAAAATGCAAATTCAAGTTTTCTATCTTCCTTCTCATCCCTCTCTTTATCCTTTTCATCAGAGTGCAAGTTTGAGAAAGAACTTTTCCACCTCTCTGAGGATAAAAGCTTTCAACATCACAAACTATATGATGCTTATCTGCTATCCCTTCGTCATCTTGTTCATGATCTTCCCCATTGTTGCTCTCAAACTTTTCTTTATCAGCTTCTTCAATTTCATCATCTATTATTTCTAAAATTAGAGTCCCTTTGCTTGTGTAATCCCCATCACCCCAAGAAGGCTTCAATAGCAAATATGCATCTATGTACATATGAGGAAACCTTGCACTGCAGTTTATGAAGCATATTTAGCAGGCTAAAGCATCGTTGTAAGAATTTTTTTCAATTAAAAGCACATTTGATAAGTTTTACCGGACTAAGGTAGTCAAACACGTCAAAAGGAATGACGAAACCAGTCTCGTCATGTATTGTCAAGCAGTTCCATAAGAGAAGTTGACGGCACCCAGTCCCGTCAGAGACGTTGATGACACAACCACTCCAGTCAGAAAAACTAACGCAACTAATGAAATTAAATTAATCTGTCGGCAAAAAAATAAATTTAACTTTTTAATAAATTAATTACGCATTTAATACAGTTTTAGAAATAATTACACATTTATTGCAAATTATGACGCCCAATTTGGGCGTCACTAAAGACGCCTAAATTGGGCGTCACTCAAGAGGCATTCACGTCTAATTTAGGCGTCACTCATCAGGTGTTGACACGTGTCATATTTTTTTTCCAAGAACATTTCCTCAAAGTAGACGACAAGTTTTCCAAAAAAATAATAATTTAATCATAAAACTTCTGAAGGCCATAATTTTTGATTTGGGTATCCAAATCAGGTAATTCTTTTTTTGATTCCACATAAGTTTTCGAGATCTACGCAATGACGTCTTATTTGATATATTTTATTTCTCACAAACATAATTTAAATTTAAATCAGGTAATCCTTCTTCCTTAGAGATTTAGAATATTTATTTAATTATTTCCTTTATTAATACAGATTTTTCAAATTGATTTTTGAGTTTTAATCACAAATCAAATCTTTATTTTGTTTTGCTTATTAATAATAATTGTTATTTTTTAATTTAAATCACACATCAAATCTTGATTTATTTTTTATATTAAATCACAAACCCAGAACACAGAGGCTTCTTAGTTTAAAAATGTGACACGTGTCAACACGTGTCAACACCTGACACGTCACCAATGACGTCTAAATTGGGGTTTAATCAAGAGGCAATCACGCTTAATTTAGGTAATTTTATTTTTGAAAAAAATTCATAAGCCATAATTAATTTCAGACCATAAATAATAACCTAGAAGCTTTTTAATCATTAATTTCAAAAATAATATTCTTATTCCTTAGAGATTTAGAATATTTATTTAATTATTACCTTTATTTCTACAGACTTTTCAAAATGATTTTTTAGTTTAAATCACAAATCAAATTTTTATTTTGTTTTCTTTATTAATAATAATTTTAATTTTAATTTTTAAATTAAATCACAAACCAAATTTTTGTTATAATAAAAAAAGTTATTAAAAAAAATTTAAATCACAAATCAAAATTTAATTTATTTATTTATATTAAATCACAAATCCAGAACTCAGATGCTTCCGTGTTTAACGACTCTTATAATATCATTCTTGCAAAATTAAAATTCTGTTTGTGAGAAGTAAAATATGTCAAATGAGATCTCATTGCAAAGATCTCAAAAATTTATGTGAAATCAAAAAAGGAATTACCTGATTTGGATACCCGAGTCAAAAGTTATGGCATTCAGAAGTTTTATGATTAAATTATTGTTTTTTTGAAAAAAATATGACACGTGTCAACACCTAATGAGTGACGCCTAAATTAAGCATGATTGTCTCTTGAGTGACGCCCAAATTAGGCGTCTTTAGTGACGCCCAAATTGGGCATTTTATTGTGCAATAAATATGTAATTATTTTGAAAACTATAATAAATACGTAATTAATTTATTAAAAAGTATTAACTTAAATCACACATCAAATCTTGTTAATAAATTGGGCGTCTTTATTTTTTTTTCCTTATTAATAATAATTGTTATTTTTTTAATTTAAATCACACATCAAATCTTGATTTATTTTTTATATTAAATCACAAACCCAGAATACAGAAGCTTCTGATTTTAAAAATGTGACACGTCAACACGTGTCAACACCTGACACGTCACCAATGACGTCTAAATTGGGATTCAATCAAGAGGCAATCACGCCTAATTTAGGTAATTTTATTCTTGAAAAACTTTCATAAGCCATAATTAATTTCAGACCATAAATAATAACCCAGAAGCTCATAACATTAATCATTAATTTCAATCGCAAACCAAATTTTTTTATAATAAAAAAAAATTTAAATCACAAATCAAAATTTTATTTATTTATTTATATTAAATCACAAATCCAGAACTCAGAGGCTTCCGGGTTTAACGACTCTTCTAATATCATTCTTGCAAATTTAAATTGTGTTTGTGAGAAATAAAATATGTCAAATGAGATCTCATTGCGTAGATCTCGAAAAGTTATGTGGAATCAAAAAAAGAATTACCTGATTTAGATACCCGAGTCAAAAGTTATGGCCTTCAGAAGTTTTATGACTAAATTATTATTTTTTTGGAAAAAATATGACACATGTCAATACCCGATGAGTGACGCCTAAATTAAGCATGATTGCCTCTTGAGTGACGCCCAATTATTGGGCGTTATATTGTGTAATAAATGTGTATAGGTGTTGAATTTAACTTGCTTTCTAATGTGATAGGCACATTTTATGTATCTAATTGTATTTAAAAAGTTATAATTTATTCTAAATTATTTTACACTTTAAAAAATAAAAATATATTATTTGTCTTAACTCTACTTTATTTTTTTATTTCTACTTATTGGAGTAAGAATGATTTAATAGAGTGAAGGTGTAATATAATCAAATAAACTTATATTTTCATTAAATCAAAAAGTATTTAATAAATTATTTAATTTTTGTACAAAACTTTAAACAATGATTATTTTAAAACTAAAAGAATTTGTGCTTTTAAATTTTGTATTATGTACTTTTAAATTTTGAAACAAAACTTTATCGTATTGTGTACTTTTAAATTTTGTATTTTATGTATTTATATAAAAATTTTGACATAACCTATGCTTATATCATCAGGACAAATAAAATTAAAATATATTAAATATAAATTTTATGAATTGTAACTATCATTTCATTTATGTTTTTATTTTATTTTATTTTAAAAACAAAATATATTTTAAAGTTTTTTTAATAATTGGCATGATTAGATTTAATTTGATTTTAAATATATTAATTTAATAGATTACTTTTAAATAAAATTATAACTAATATATTAAATTAAATTAGTAGAGTCATTAATTTGTTGATTGATCCTTCTTCCATAGAGATTTAGAATATTTATTTAATTATTTCCTTTATTTCTACTACAATAAATGCATAATTAATTTATTAAATAGCATTAACTTAATTTTTTTTGCCTAATCCTATCAATTTAATATATTTATTAGATACAATTTAATACATTTTGAGATAAACTTAAAAAAATTTGTAATTAGATACAATTTAATATATTTATTTCATAGTTAATGTGTAAAAATATTCGTAATTATGTATTTTTAATATATTTTATTTAAAAAAATGAATTTACTTTTTTTTTAAATAGTTTAAAATAGGAATTAATATAAATAAATGAAAAGCTTAAACATAAAATAAAAAAGAATTATATGAAAATCTATTATTGAGAATATTTTTGTCTATTTAAAGCATATTCGGGCACAATCTGATTCACATCAAACACCGGATAAGATACTATTGTCCTGTCAGATAGCTTATCTAATGCACATCAAACATAATATAAGATATGAGAATATCATATCATATCATATCTTGTTTTTCACTCTTTTTGTCTTAATTCCTTATTTTTGTTTTTCTCTTTTATAAACCCTAAACCTTAAACCATCACACCAAAGTAAGAGAGACACAGAGAAAGAAGAAACCCTATTTCTTATTTTTCTTGTTTACCTTATTTCTTGTTCTGTCCGATCAAACCCTTCACTCTTTTTTTTTCTCTTGTCGATCTACTCGACTTGTTTTCCAGCGAATTTTCCTAGGAAAATCTGAAGAACCGATAAAAGATGAAGAGAGTAAGCGATGATGATATTTATGCTGGTTCTGGTTCTCAATTCAAACGCCCCTATAGTTCCTCACGTGGTGATTCCTATGGCCAAACCCAAGTCCCTGGAGGAGGAGGAGGAGGGGGAGGTAGTGTTGGTGGGGGAGCAATCACTTCCCAGAAACTTGGGCACAACACTTTCCTGCCAAAGGGATATGAGATAACCCTTGACGAGGATGAGGCTCCTCCAAAGAAAACGGTTGAATTTGAAGAAGCTATTAGTTTTGTGAACAAGATAAAGAAACGATTCCAAAGTGATGAGCATGTTTACAAATCGTTCTTGGACATTATAAATATGTACCGCAAAAAGCATAAGGACATGGGTGAAGTTTATAGTGAGGTTACTACCCTGTTTAAGGATCATCGAGATTTGCTTGAGGAGTTCACTAGATTCTTACCAGATAGTTCCTCACATGGTGATTTCTATGGCCAAACCCAAGTCCCTGGAGGAGGAGGATGAGGTGGAGGTAGTGTTGGTGGGGGAGCAATCACTTCCCAGAAACTTGGGCACAACACTTTCCTGCCAAAGGGATATGAGATAACCCTTGACGAGGATGAGGCTCCTCCAAAGAAAACAGTTGAATTTGAAGAAGCTATGAGTTTTTTGAACAAGATAAAGAAACGATTCCAAAGTGATGAGCATGTTTACATATCGTTCTTGGACATGATGATTATGTACCGCAGAGAGCATAAGGACATGGGTGAAGCTTATAGTGAGGTTGCTACCCTGTTTAAGGATCATCGAGATTTGCTTGAGGAGTTCACTAGATTCTTACCAGATAGTTCCGCAGCACCTTCTACACAGCATGCTCCGGATGCTCGAAATTCATTGCAGCGCTTTAGTGAGCGGAGTTCTATGGCACCCATGATGCGGCAAATGCAAGTAGACAAGACACAAGGATATCGACGAAAGAGGCTTCCTTCTCATGATCGTGAGCGTGATCTGAGTGTTGAAAACCCTGAGATGGATGATGAGAAAAGAATGATGAACATGCACAAGAAGCGGAGGAAACGTGAGAGTAAGGATAAGAGGATTAATCGTGATCAGGATGAGAGAGAACCTGATCATACAAATGCTCAACAATTTCTTGAGGTATCCATTTCTCCCCTTTTTAACGGTTTTATTGGATGATTCTTTCTCTCTACATTTTCATTTTCCTAGGTTGGTTACATGCTCATGGGGTTGGGATTGCTAGAACTAATCTGACTCATAACTTATTACCCCAAAGTTATTGCTGATCATTTAGGACGAAAATGTTGTTTTATGTTAGTTGAGTGTAATGCAGTTTTCTCAATCAACCTAGTGAGTTTGAGTATAAGAAGGAATTGGAGTGAATGTAAACTTATTTACATAACAGAATATAATTTTGTGACTGAGTAGGTTCCTTTTTTATTTTTTATTTTTATTTTTTAAGTTTGTTCTATTTTTTTTTGTTTATTGTACGTTTCGTCTGTTCTAGTATGTGTTTATGTTTGTTGAGTAAATGTAAGTATGAGAGAGAGAGAGAGAGAGAGGAGGAGGAGGAGGAGGAGGAGGAGGAGGAGGAGGAAGAGAGAATAGATCAGTGAAAGTTTCTGAGTGAGAACTGTGTTATTGACTTAAGATTAAAATGAACTTTGATATAAATTGGATACCCTACACGGTTTTCGGTTGGTGAATGAATCTTCACCCCAATGGATTGTTTCCCAAGTTCTTTAGGCGGATTTCCATTGCTTATAATCACAAAGATGTTGCAAGATTTCTTGAAGAAAATCCATTCCTTTGTCTCCATTCTGTGTGGATCCCTTACAGTGCTTTAGAAACTCCCTATATGTTTTAAGAGCTTGTAACCTCTCATAAACATGATCAACCTCCTCTTCAAAGGACACCTTCATGCTATCCATTTCAAGTGTAGGAAATGAGTTTTGCATATCAAGTCTTTGTCACCTGGTCTTGATGAAAGCTCAATCAAGTTAAATTCATCAAGGAATTGCTCATTATATCACCCACTGTGATAAGTTTTTCCCTCAATGCTTTGAACACATCTAGAATGGACACCTTCTCTTCCTCAAATTCTGCCGATGAATTATCAACAACACTTATAAACTTTGCACAGTCTATTGCCATCTCCTCCAAATTTGAAACTGTATCAGCAGTTGTATTGTTGTGGCTGCTTTCCTCATGGTTGAAGATGCCATTGTCTTCATCCTTTGCTTCATAGTTAATTAAGATCAATGGTTAGCTCATCCATGTTGCTGCAAGATGAAGATGAGTCTCTACTTCTTACAATTCCATCTTTTCTTCTCAACACCCTCAATTTCTCTTTTCCTTCATAGTCGAGTATCTTTTTCCTGTGCTCTTCCAATTCCTTTTCAAGTTCTTGCTTCTTCTCTTTCTCTCTTTTCATCATTAAATCATTCAAAATCTGCAAAGCTTCTGGATCATACTCTGATTGCTCTTCCAGCATTCTTTGGCACTGCAATGCTTCCATTTGCATTGCTGCTTTTTCTTCCTGCCGCCTGGTAATCATTGTCATTGTCTGGTTAGCAGCTATTGCAGAGGAACTTCTCTCTTCTTCTAGTTCCTGATATAAAACACTTAAAGAGTCTTTCAGATTTTTAAGATGATTTTAGCTGTTTAATTGTTAAAACTGGATCACCACATTCTGCCTCACTTGCAACACTTCCATCCTCAAAGAGCATCAATTTCCTATTAAGGTAATGAACAGAAGTTGGAGTTTCATGAAATAAAACAAAATGAAAAGAAAAAAAATAATGTATGATATGTAAAACTTTCATATGTTGTTCTGAGCAACGAACACATTAAAGGCATTGGGAACTTCAGTATCATCATCATTTGTTGAAGATTGATCTTCTTGTATGCATTGACAAGAGCAGCCTGGTTCATGAAATGGAGGCTTATTGGCTGGGGAGAAAAAACTTCTTAAAATTGTTGATATTTTAAATATATTAAAAATGATATCTCATGTAATGTATGCAAACGTATTACATCTACATATGCTAATTTCATTTGATGAACTAGTTACTAGGAAACATCGAACAACACAATTGCAAAGGGAGTGTGTTAAGTTCTTTTAATTCTTACACTTCTTTGTACCTCGTGTATTATCTGCTTCTTCTATAGCTGCTTCTGCATTGCTGCCACCACAGGAGAAAGCTTGAGGCTCACAAAGATTATTCTGAGCAATGAATTCATCAAAAGCATTTTGAACTTCAGCATTATCATCACTTGTTGAATATTCATCTTCTTGTGTGCATTCATATGAGCAGGCTGGATATTGAGATTGAGGTAGACATGCTGCATCACCAAAAACTTGTGAGATTTTATGGTCAAGATATATGCAACAGGATCACTCAAATAATCGTACTAACCCATTATGTTTTCATTCGGTGTCTTCAATAAATAGAAACATGAAACGTGAACAACCCAAGTTGGATAGATGATGGTTAAGAAATTCTAAAAAAAATGTCCTGTTCCTTTTGTATTATCCGAGGTTCTGAGATGGATTCAACATTGTTGCCATCATTTGGTAAAGTATGAGCTTCTTAAATAGTAATCCTCTCTGGAAGTGACTCAACTACAGTTTTAAATCTTCAACTTCCAAACCTATAGAATTCTCCAAGCCTGTCATGTTTGTATCCAAGCTTTGAAATTCTCTCAAGTTTGTTTTATAGCTGCATTCATATCCATTGTGAATAATGCTGGCACTTCAAATATACTTGATTGTGCTCTAATAGGTGACTCAGTAGCAAAACTTTCAATCTTTTGCTCCCTCTCTAATGCATGAGTTTCACAAGCTACATGATTCATCAATTACCCCAAAGTTATTGCTGATTAGGACGAAAAAGGTTGTTTTCTGTTAGTTGAGTGTAATGCAGTTTTCTCAATCAACCTAGTTAGTTTGAGTATAAGAAGGAATTGGAGTGAATGTAAACTTATTTACATAACAGAATATAATTTTGTGACTGAATAGGTTCTTTTTTTATTTTTTATTTTTATTTTTTAAGTTTGTTCTGTTTTTTTTTTCTTTTACGTTTCGTCTGTTCTAGTATGTGTTTATGTTTGTTGAGTAAATGTAAGTATGAGAGAGAGAGAGAGAGAGAGGAGGAGGAGGAGGAGAAAGAAAGAAGAGATCAGAGAAAGTTTCGGAGTGAGAACTGTGTTATTGACTTAAGATTAAACTGATTACAGTGTCCCCCCAGCTCAGCAAATCTAACTTGTAACAGAAACTGAGCTGGCACGAAACAAACTCTTAACAGTTCAGAAACTATATCACAAAACACAGAGTTGTATTTTGCAGTATATATAGAAAGGATACTGATGCAGAGTAAATCATATGCGTTTACTCTATTATAGGCATTACATTTAAGAGAATAAACTTTAATTTAATATATAAGAATGTATTCTACTTTTTTGCCCCTTTCTTTCATTCCCTATTTAGTACAGACGGCTTGTAATTCTTGATTTGTTGTTAAGATGGAAATTGTTATAGGATTCTTTGATGGACAACGATTAAAGTGCCACATTTTTTGTAAAAAATTATCTGAATGTCACATTTTGTAAATTTTTGATCAAAATGTCACGTTACCTAACTCGCTTACAACACCTGGTGAGTTAGGCGTTGTCACATTTAGATGGGAGAACATTATTTATAGAATAAAAAAATAATAATATTGTAAAGACTCATGTGAGATTTTTGTCAATATAAAATAATAACAGCAGGGATTTGAACTTGCAGCGCTTTCTAAAGAAAAATAAATCTGTCAAGAAGGCTGAAGGTTTTGGGTTGGCTTCAGACTTTTCTTCTAAGGAAGACAAGGATACCTTAAAGAACATGTATAGTCAAGCAATCAGTTTCTCTGAGAAAGTTAAGGAGAAGTTGAACAGTGCTGATGACTACCAAGCTTTCTTGAAGTGCCTTCATATTTTTTTCACCGGTGGAATAATAAATAGGAATGAATTGCAAAATTTGGTAACCGATTTACTTGGAAAACATCCTGATCTTATGAAGGAATTCAATGATTTCCTGGAGCGTTGTGAAAATATTGATAGGTTCCTTGCTGGTGTCATGAGTAAAAAGTCACTAAGATCATCAAAGTTGGAGGACAAAGACAAAGACAAAGACAAAGACAAAGAGCAGAAGCGTGAGATGGATGGAGCTAAAGAGAAGGAAAGATACAGGGAGAAGAAGTACATGGGAAAATCCATTCAAGAACTTGACCTCAGTGACTGTAAACGTTGCACTCCCAGCTACCGGCTTCTACCTGCTGATTATCCAATTCCTACAGCTAGTCAGAGATCTGAGCTTGGTGCTCAAGTATTGAATGATCACTGGGTATCTGTGAGTTCAGGAAGTGAGGATTACTCTTTCGAACATATGTGCAGGAATCAGTACGAAGAGAGCTTGTTCAGATGTGAAGATGACAGATTTGAGCTGGACATGTTATTAGAGTCTGTGAGTTCTGCAGCTAAACGTGCAGAGGAATTATATAATAACATGAATGAAAATAAGATCAATATGGAGACTCTGAACCGTATTGAAGATTACTTTACTGTTCAAAATTTAAGGTGCATTGAACGTCTATATGGTAACCATGGTCTTGACGTTATAGACATATTGCGTAAAAACCCAACTCGTGCGCTCCCTGTAATATTGACTCGACTGAAGCAGAAACAGGAGGAGTGGAGTCGGTGTCGTTCAGATTTCAATAAAGTTTGGGCTGAAATTTATTCTAAAATTCACTTAAAGTGAAGCAACAGAAAGAGGATGATATTCTTCAGTCTACTATTGCAGCTGGAAACAAATTAGTTCGGTATTCATGTGATATGAGAGTATGAATGAGGCTGATGGTAGAGTAACTGAGGTAAAGAATGTTCACCGGACTAGTGTAGCAGCCAGTGATAAAGAAAATGGATTATTTTTTGGAAGCTTCCACAAGCAGCCAGTGATAATACTAAGTTCATTCGACTCAACTCGAAATAATTGAAATTCAATGATTTTTTAAATACTAAGAGTTTCTGAAAAAAAAAAACCTTTGCTTTATAAGGAATAATAATGGACTATCAAGCCTCTCTCAGTCGGGGCGGTTATATTTATTATATTTTAGATGTACCATTCTTATTATCTAATTATTTATCCAAGGATCAATTCGAAATCAACAACAGTTTTTTTCTTCTATTTTTTTCTATTGTTGATTTCAAATTAATACAACGATAACCAATCAAATAATAAAAATGATAAATTTAAAATAATAATAAATATAACTTTCTCTGCTTCTCAATTCGCAATAACCTTTTTTTCTCCATTCTAACGAAGTTAGTAGTCTCAATTTGCCGTTCATTTTAGAGTACATAAAACATCTGGTGTAATTATGCACGTCAAAATTTTGTTCCCGCATCCGTTATGCCATTTGTTTGATATGCCCTCTGTTACAATAATATTCTTAAGAAGTAAATTATTTTGAGATGATCAACATTATATTCATTTAACTAATTACCATTTTCAAATAAAATACTTACGTATTCATCATAGTTTAATGAGGCTACTGTCCTCCAAAGGTCGCCCAAAACTTTTTACCTCAGAGTAATAATAATAATAATAATAATAATAATTTGACAGTTGAATATAATATTTTCAATTATATGTTTTTGATTGAGAGTATGAATCGACAATAGAAATATGAATTATTTAAAATAAATAAAAATATATCACTAAGCATATTTTTGAAAAAATTATAATTAATTAAAAAATATCATGATAAATGAAGAAGTAATTATAAGGTCTAAACAGTAACTTCAGTCATCATAACCATAACTAACAAATATATACAGATTATAATTTATACATAATCGATACATTATTTTGCCGTGTGAAATTTTCCAAGCTCAATACTGTTAACACACAACCTAACCTACATAATGCAACATTAATGGTAAAAAATCATTTTAACTCAAAACATTAAGCCATTGGGTGATTTATATTAATGATTTTATATTTTTTTAAGTAAAGGAATGATAAATATGAAAATAAGGGCCTTTGCTCGTAAAATTTGTGAAAAATGTCTATTGATCCGCAGGCGGGGACACGTTATAGTAATTTGTTCAAATCCGAGACATAAACAAAGACAAGGACAATATTTCCACAAAAGAGGAATTTTTATTTTTAAAACCAGATGCACAAAAAAAATAAATTTAGATTAAAGAAAAAAATAGTATAAATTTCAATATGAAATAATAAAAAATATGGCTAAACCTATGGATATGAATTTAGATTCAAGAATCAGTACATGATATTTTAATGAATTTGAAATAAATTGTATTAAAAAGTCATCTCTATGGAACTCAGGAGGCGTCTATTTGTTTTAAGGGTCCTGGATATGTAACTGCTCAAGACATCATTTTACCACCTTATGTAGAACTCGTTGATAATACACAACATATAGCTAACGTAACAGGACCAATCCATTTGTATATTGGATTAAATAGGAATCGCAGATATCATATAAAAACACTCAAAAACTTTCAAGACGAAAGTTATACTATAGATGATGTATTCATATCTGTTCGAAATGCAAATCATAGTATTCATTCTTATGTGAATGGGAATGAAAAACAATAGATACTCTTTCTCGAAATATGGACAAATGGAAGTTTAACTCCGAAGGAAGCACTTTATGAAGCCTCCCGGAATTTGATTGATTGATTTATTCCTTTTTTACATGCGGAAGAGGAAAATTTAAAATTAGAAAACAATCAACACAAATTGACCTTACCCCTTTTTACTTTTCATGATAGATTGGCTAGGTCTAACCTAAGGAAAAAAAAAAGAAATAACATTGAAATCCATTTTTATTGACCAATTAGAGTTGCCCCACAGGATCTATAATTGTCTCAAAAGGTATAATATAAATACATTATTAGAACTCTTGAATAACAACCAAGAAGACCTTTTGAAAATGGAAGATCTTTGTGCAGAAGATGTAAAAATGATATTCGATATTTTCGAAATAGAATAACATTTTGTATATTTCCAGTGCAATAAAGTTACATAGTGTCTATTTTTTGTTGATATAAGAGGTATTTTCATGGGTTTGCCTTGGTATCGTGTTCATACCGTTGTATTAAATGATCCCGGCCGTTTACTTTCTGTTCATATAATGCATACAGCTCTGGTTGCTGGTTGGGCCGGTTCGATGGCTCTATATGAATTAGCAGTTTTTGATCCCTCTGACCCTGTTCTTGATCCAATGTGGCGACAGGGTATGTTCGTTATACCCTTTATGACTCGTTTAGGAATAACTAATTCATGGGGCGGTTGGAACATCACAGGGGGGGCTATAACCAATCCGGGTATTTGGAGTTACGAAGGTGTGGCCGGAGCACATATTGTCTTTTCAGGTTTGTGCTTTTTGGCAGCTATCTGGCATTGGGTCTATTGGGATCTAGAAATATTTTGTGATGAACGTACTGGAAAACCTTCTTTGGATTTACCCAAAATCTTTGGAATTCATTTATTTCTTGCGGGGGTGGCTTGTTTTGGTTTCGGCGCATTTCATGTAACAGGATTGTATGGTCCTGGAATATGGGTGTCCGACCCTTATGGACTAACCGGAAGGGTACAATCCGTAAATCCCGCATGGGGTGTGGAGGGTTTTGATCCCTTTGTTCCGGGGGGAATAGCCTCTCATCATATTGCAGCAGGGACATTAGGTATATTAGCGGGCCTTTTCCATCTTAGTGTGCGCCCGCCCCAACGTCTGTACAAAGGATTGCGTATGGGAAATATTGAAACCGTCCTTTCGAGCAGTATCGCTGCTGTCTTTTTTGCAGCTTTTGTTGTTGCCGGAACTATGTGGTATGGTTCAGCAACCACCCCAATTGAATTATTTGGTCCCACTCGTTATCAATGGGATCAGGGATATTTCCAGCAAGAAATATATCGAAGAGTTGGTGCTGGGCTAGCCGAAAATCAAAGTTTATCAGAAGCTTGGTCTAAAATTCCTGAAAAATTAGCTTTTTATGATTACATCGGCAATAATCCGGCAAAGGGGGGGTTGTTTAGAGCGGGCTCAATGGACAATGGAGATGGAATAGCCGTGGGTTGGTTAGGACATCCTATTTTTCGAGATAAAGAGGGGCGTGAACTTTTTGTACGTCGTATGCCTACCTTTTTTGAAACATTTCCGGTTGTTTTGGTAGACGGAGACGGAATTGTTCGAGCCGATGTTCCTTTTCGAAGGGCAGAATCTAAGTATAGTGTTGAACAAGTAGGTGTAACCATTGAGTTTTATGGTGGCGAACTCAATGGAGTCGGTTATAGTGATCCAACTACTGTGAAAAAATATGCTAGACGCGCTCAATTAGGTGAAATTTTTGAATTAGATCGTGCTACTTTGAAATCGGATGGTGTTTTTCGTAGCAGTCCAAGGGGTTGGTTTACTTTTGGACATGCTTCGTTTGCTCTGCTCTTCTTTTTCGGGCACATTTGGCATGGTGCTAGAACCTTGTTCAGAGATGTTTTTGCTGGTATCGACCCCGATTTGGATGCTCAAGTAGAATTTGGAGCATTCCAAAAACTTGGAGACCCAACGACAAGAAGACAAGCAGTCTGATAGAACATTCTTTTGTGCCTTTTCAACTTTTTTTTATTGTTATTTTAATTTTACGTAGGGAACCGGGTAAATCTGGATTTGAATCATCACTTTTTTTACTCCTGCTCTTTTTCTTTATCCGGGATATGGTCCTAAATAAACAGGCATGAAAGCTATAATTGTAAACCACGATCAAATCTATGGAAGCATTGGTTTATACATTCCTATTAATCTCTACTTTAGGAATCATTTTTTTCGCTATCTTTTTTCTGTTAGACTTGATCAACCTAATAGGAGATAATAATTTGGGAATTAGGGCTCGCGATAGGAATATTGGAGTTTTTAATTCTGAAATGGGGTAAGATAACAATTTATGCATGCTCTAGGGATAGACTTGTGTGAGTTGCAGTCGTTTGATTTATCGTGATTAATGCTTAATTTCTTGCGGGGTTGCTAAGGGATTAGGAATCCGATTGACTTAAAGGGTTAGATTGCCAAGAGATTGAGATTTAACTAATTATTTTAGATGATAATTTGTCTGAGTTATTAAATTGAATGAACGTTGTCAATCAATCCAAAGTTTAAAGTGGGGATCATATGGTGTGTGTACCTTAGCTGCAATGCTTTTTATTATTCTCTCAAAAATCCAAAGTAATAAGTGGGGATCATAAGGTGAGTGCGCTCTAGCTACAATGCTTTTCTCATTTTTATAAATCAAAACTCATTTTCTTGTTCTTATTTTTATTCTTCATTACAGAAAAATTACAAAAACAAGTCTTTATTTTCGGTTCTCAATTTCACAAAATTTGACAATATTTGTCACAACCTTTGAACTCATCCATTCTTAAAAGGAACAATTAATTGATATTCGACCCAATCCCTGTGGAGACGATACTTTACTTACTATTATATTACTTGTGCGATCGGTATACTTGCCGGGAAGCATCAAGTTTTTGGCGACGTTGCCGGGGATTGGCGTTTCTTATATCAATTAATTTTGATTTTTAAGATTGGATTTTTTTTATTATTTTATTTTTGATTCTTGAACAGTGCTACTGATCTCTTTTCTGAGTTGTATGCGAGGTAAAGAGCCAGAATTTCCACTTGATTTGGAGATTACAAAAACAAAAAAGAGGAACAGAAAATTTGTCGGAAGAAGCTTGCTTTTAACGAGTTAGAAAAATCTGTCTGAAGAAGCACACAAGATGGCAGGGAACAATGAAGAAGATAATCCACTCATGGATACTATTATGGTTCCATCCTTCAACAGGCCGAACGCGAGTATTGTTCAGCCAAACGTTGCCAACAATTGGGAGCTTAAGTCCTCTCATATCAATTTAGTGGAGAGAGACCAGTTTGGAGGAGGGGAGAGTGAAGACCCTCACAGATTTATTGACAGATTCTTGAGGATCTGTGACTCCACTAAACATCCTCAAGTGTCTAATGATGCAATTCGGTTAAGGTTGTTCCCTTTTGCTCTTCAGGGAAAAGGTCTTAGTTGGTTGGAGAGGCAGCCCGTAGCATTGCTACATGGGATGACATGTCTCAGAAGTTCTTTGTTGAGTTCTTCTCGATGGAGAGGTACAACCAGATTGTGAATGACATCACCAATTTCACTCAGTTACAGGGTGAAACTATGTGTGGAGCATGGAACATATTCAAGGATTTACTGAGGAGGTGTCCTCAGTATAACTTGACTGCTGGCAATCAGGTGAGAATCTTTTTCAATGGTTGCAGGCCTGAGACTCGGATGGTGTTGAATGGTGCAGCGGATGGCACTATTAAAACTCTGAGAGCAAATGAGACTCTTGAGTTGATTAAGAGGATGGCTGCCAATGAAAATGAAGTGCTGTCATCCAAGCCTAAGAGAGGTATCCTTCAATTGGAAGGTAATGATGCGGTGTTGGCTGAAAACAGTTTGCTATCTCAGCAGGTAGCAAACCTGACCTCAAGGCTTGACAAGATGCAGCTTGCTGGTGTTCAGACAAAAACTGCTGCTGTGGTGTGTGAATATTGCCAGGACAATCATGAGTCTAGTGAATGTCCTTTGATGCCTTCTGATTCACCTCAACAAGTACAAGTGAATGGCATCTGGTATGATCAAAGACCTCAACAGCAAAAGGTTCAAAGAGGTCAGAATTTTGCTCCTGGAGGTAATAATTATCAACGGAAGATCCAAGGCACATGTCTGGATTACAATTCAAACAACTACTTGCAGCCTCCACCATTTCAAGCCAAGGAACCTTCTGATTTGGAGAAGCTAGTGGGACAAATGGCTCAACACTCTAATACTTTCATAGAGGAGACTAGAGCCAATACCAAGAACACAAATGCTTTCGTAGAGGAGACTAGGGCCAATACTAAAAACATGAGTGCTTCTATAAAAAACTTGGAGAATCAAATTGGCCAACTGGCTAAGCAAGTTGCTGATAGAACTCCAGGCACTTTCCCTTGTAACACAGTTATAAATCCCAAGGAGGATTGCATGTTTGTCACAACTAGAAGTGGTAAAGTGGTGGCAACTCCAGAAAATCCGAGCATAAATGTGGAAGCTGAGAAGAAGCTAGATACTGCAGGTGAGCCCGAAAAAGAAAAAGAAATCGAAAAACCTGCTGAAGTGGAGAAACCAGTTGAAAAGAAGAAGTTTGAGCTAAGTCCTGAATATGTGAGAGCCATGGCACCCTATCCTGAAAGATTCGAGAAGGATGCTCAGAAGCAACATTATGACAGATTTCTTGATATATTCAAGAAATTGCATGTCAACATTCCCTTTGCTGAAGTTCTGGCTTGCATGCCCAATTATGCTAAGTTCATGAAGGACTTGTTATCAAGAAAGCATAAGCTGCAAGAGTGCCAAACAGTAACACTCACTGAGGAGTGTAGTGCCATAATACAGAAGAATTTTCCACCCAAGCTTAATGATCCAGGGAGCTTCAATATTCAAATTGAAATTGGCAACACCAAAATTGGCAGGGCATTATGTGATCTTGGTGCTAGCATTAATTTGATGCCCCTTTCTATTTGTAAATCCTTGGGGATCACCGAGTTGAAGCCTACTTTGGCATCTCTTCAACTTGCTGATAAGTCTATAAGGAAGCCTAGTGGAATAGTGGAAGATGTTCTTGTGAAGGTGGACAAGTTCATCTTTCCTGCTGATTTTGTGGTGTTGGACATGGAAGGGGGAGCTGAGATGCCTCTTTTGCTGGGTAGACCGTTCTTAGCTACATCTCGTGCCATGATTGACGTTGAGAATGGGAAGCTAGAGTTAAGGATGAATGATGAGTCCATTACCATCAATGTCTTTGACTCTATGAAACAATCTTATGGCAAAGGCGATTGTTTTAGACTCGAGCAAGTGGGGAAGGAAGAAAAATCTTCTAGTCAAGAGCTTGATAAAGAACTTGAGGAGCGTAAGATTGTTCCTGCTAAGAGAAAAAAAATGTAGTGTTTGAAGTTCTTGAGAAAACAAATGATGACAAAGAAGATGGTGCCCCAAAAATAAAGTTGAAAGAGCTTCCTGAAACTTTGAAACATACCTTCTTGGGTAATAAGGAGGCAGTGATTGAAGTACTGAAGGAACATGAGACTGCCGTAGGGTGGTCTACTTCAGATTTGAAAGATAAAGATCCCTCTTCCCGTACCCAAAAAATTCTCAATGAAGATGATGACAAACATGGGAGAAAACCCCAAGGGAGGCGTCATCCTATACAAAAGAAGGTACTGAGAAAGGAAGTGGTGAAACTCTTTGATACGAGTTGAAAGAGACACCGGGAGCTGAAGTTTGACAAGAGACACCGAGACACTATCTCTCAGAAAACCAAAGCTTCAAAGAGTTCTTAACATGGCTTCATGGTTTGGAACAAATCTGGGAATGGTGGTCTCATACACCAAAGCATCCAGTACCACCAGATCTTCCAGTTGCTGAGTCATCCCACGCTGCTGAGGGGGATGACATGGAGGGTTGATTATATCTCCTTGCTGACGGAGATTTTGTATATTAGTTTATTTTTCTGTTTCGTATTATTAGTTGTTTTGTGTTGGTATATCTCTTTCTGATGTTTTAATGTGCGCATTATAGTTTATCCTATATGCCACCGTTTGTTCCATTGTGCAGGTTTTTTCTTCCTTCTTGTGGTTTAATTATTGCTGAGGACAACAATTCTCTAAATCTGGGAATGGTAGGCTTGCATCTTAGAACTGCTGCAATTCTTCTATCAGGGGAGATATTCTAACTCTTAATTTTTTTAATTTTTTTTTTGTAGTTTTTTGTGAAAAAAATGATCTTTTTTTCAAGCAATTCTCAGGTTTAAATGTGCTCCTTCTAGTTAATGTGCTTGACTGATTCATCCTAGAAAACATGTTTTGTATGAACTTCTGGCATGATATTGTATGGGCATGAGTAGATTTCATGATTGCTCGTTTGTCTGAATTTCGTGCTTGAATGATAAATAATGCCTGATGTTTCTTTTGGAAGTCTAGCTTGACATCATAGCCGGTGAGGTTTTGTGCTTAAACACTTATTTTATTCTGAGAGACCTCACTGTGATAGCATTCTAGAACTTGCTCTATTTCTCTGTTATGCATACATTGGTTGATATGATAAAGGCATTTTGTTCTTGTTAGCTATTGGCCAAAATAACCCACATATATGAATTTTTCCATTGCTAGCCCCTTTGAGCCTGAGCCTTTTTGTTCATAATTCCTGATTGATGGCTTAGTCTATATCCATGTGACTTACCTTAATTGAGATTGAATTACTGATGTGTTGAAAAATAAAACAAAGAAATTGAGGTAAGCTCCACAGAGGTCAAGTAATTAGGGGAGGTAAAATTTCATCTGTGCCCTTAAAACAAAGGGAGAAAGAGAAAAAGAAAAAGAAAGCAAGAAAAAGAAAAAGGGTGAATGTAAAGAAAATGTGGTTGATAGGAATTAATTCCTGAAATTCTGTGGGAATCTGAGTGGAGCAAAACCATTGAGTTGAATGTGTTAAAGTGAAATAATACCAGTTTTTCAATTTCATTGTTGTTTGAGCTACTGTCCATATATTCCTACCCATTAACTCGGCCAAGTTACAACCTGTGAAGTCCTTTTGATCAATTGATGCATGTGTTTGATTCTTCATTTTTAAGAATTTTTGAGAATATGATCAAGCTTATGGTAATGTTATTAATGTGATGGATTGAGTGATTGTTACTCCCCTAAACACTTGAGTGCTGAGCGTTATATGTTTATCTTGGTGAGGGGTGTTCAAGCTAGATTCTGA